TGTTGTTAATATTAAAGTATTAAAATTTACGATGCAGTATTAAAAAGTACAAAAAAAGTTGTACATGAAGAGTTGCGTTATTATAAATTTTCTTTTTTTTTTTTAATTTTTATTTTATTTTAATTCAAGAGATTAAATTTTAATTGAAATTTTTTAAAAAAATTATACAAATAATATTTTATATTGAATTGAAATTAAAATTGATATAGCGATAATGAAATTATTATGGATATTCGGTATTTAAAGTTTTATAAAAATTTTTCATTAATTTTAAATTAATTTTAAATTATAATATTATTTTATTAATTGTTATAAGAATTAATAAGAGCATTAAAATTTTTTAACATAAATTTTAAATCAATTTCAGCTATTACGCTATCATTTTTAATATTGAAAATTTTCAAATTGAATTAAATTTTAAAAAATTTTTGATTTTAAATTAATTAAAATTAAAAATTTAAATGATTTTTGAAGAAAAAATAAATTATTAATAATATTTTTAATAATTATATAATTTTATAATATTTTAAAGCCTGATTTTCTAATAAATTACAATTAACTTAAATTTTTGATTAACAATTTCTTATTTTTAATAATTTTTTTATGTTTTTACTACAAAATAATTTTTTTTTTCATATTTAATTCAAAAATTAATTTAAACGTTTTATAAGTTTAATTGAATATAATTTTGTTTTTCATCAAATTTTATTTGATTTTGTAACTTTTACAAATTTTTTAAATTTTTTATTTTGTTTTTGATTTTTAATTAATTTTGATTTTCGTTTTCAATAAGAATTTTTTTTCTTATATTTGTATTGTTTCAAACTTTATAATATGTAAGTATATTTTTAAAGAAAATAAAAGGAATTTATTATAAATTGAATAATATTAAATTAAATATAAAATATTTAAAAATTATGTGTACGATTTAATTTTAATAAATACACAAATTAGTTAAGCTCAATTTGACCATTGTGAATTGAATTGACATTTTAATAAATCAAAAATTTTTTTTTGAAATGTTTACAATTTAATAATAATTTTGATTAGGAAAATCGATTTTCAATAAAATCGATTAAATTTTTGGAATATCCCTTTTATTTTTTCTATCAATGTGTTTGAATTCATTTATATAATTTTAAATTTTTATTTATAAATTTAATAATTAACTTAAATAAAATTATTATTAATAAATATAATTTTACAATTTTATTAATTTCAATTTGATTTGAAAAACATATTATTCGGATAATTTGTTAGCTCGTTGTAAATCGAAAAATTATTAGAATAATATATATATATACAAATTTTGATAAATAAATAAAATTATTTTATTAAATTATAAATTGGTGGATGGGCATCAAAAATTTTAACATTCATATAATTCAAAAATATTGGTTTAGTAGTGATTGTAATAAATGTAGATAATTTATTTTGAGTTGAATTTATATTATAATGCGTGATTTTACACAAAAAACTAGAGGTATGTAATTACAAAATTTTATAAATTTATTTGAAATTTAAAATTTGGTATTTATACTAATTTTATACTTACTTTTTATAAATGTAATTATTATTATAATAAAAAATTGAATAAATAAATAAATATGCTGTAAAGATATCAGTGATTTTATTTCAGACTATTAATTTAATTATATTCAGATGGTTTGGGAAATATTTCTGATAAAACTAATCAAAATAATAATGGCGGCAGGTTTTATTTTTAATTGAGAATTAAATCATATGATATAAAAATATTTAAAAAATTTAAGAATTCAGAATTTTTGATTACAAAATTGAAATTAGAATTAGAAAATATTATTAATATTAAAATTTTATTCTATTAAAATGTTTTGAATATTTTAGTTCAGTGAAATTAAAATAAAATAAATCTCAAATTGTAAGTAATTATAATAAAAAAGTAATTATAAATTAAAAAAAAATTTAAGTTAAATTAAATAAAGAGTAAAATTTTATTATTTTAATTAAAATCTGCCCATTAAGTATTTAAAAATTTCTGGTAAAAAATTTGGCACTATCTTTATAGTTATATAAAATAAAATATATAAGGAAGCGATGTACGGGTTTATAAGTGTTAGAAATTAAAATGTAAATGGTTTTTTTTTTTTAAATAAAATAAAAATAATAATTTTTTTCTTATGTTTTTTTTTTAATGAGATCAATTATTTTATGTATAATATCATTTATTTAAATAATTTTTAATTAATTTTATTTTATTCTTTTAACATTAAATTCAATAATTTATTTAATATTATATTTTACAGAAAATAGAGAAATAAGAAAAATAGAAATAGAATATTTTTTTAAAACAATTTTAAGAAATACAAATAAATTAAAATTAAAATTAGAATATTGCAGAAGCAAATTTAAGAATAACAATATACAATTATAATTTTTTTTTTTATATATTTTATACAAAATTTTGATTTCAACAATTAAAAATTTACTCATATTCTTTCCTACTTTTAATTTAAATTTAATTAATAATTTTGATTTAATTTTAATTAATAATTTAATGTCGATAAATTCAATTAAAATATTTTATTAAGCATTTTTTGCTTAATTGCATTTTGCAAGACATTCTTTTTTTTTTTTAAAATTATTTAAATTAAATTTCTCAATATTAAAGTGCATTATACTTTTTTTCAAAATGTGCAAATTCAATTTTTTATGTAAATAAAAAATAAAAGTAAATTGTAAAATACTAAATTTTTGTTTTTACGTAAAGTCTTTAATAATTTTATAACATTTTAGTTTGTTTTTAAATTATTTATGAATTTATTAAAGCATTTTATAAAATTTTAATTGAAAAATTAAACAATTCCTTTCAAAAGAGAGAAAAAATGAAAAAAAATTCTCTAATTTACATTTATTATAAATCAAATGTAAAAAATATTAATTTTACACATATATTTTTTTAATTAAATATAAATTTTATTTTATATTTTGAATTTTACCAATAATTTGATTTATTATATTTAATTATATAATATTAATTTTGAATATATTATACAAATTTTATTTCCAAATTATTATAAATTTCCTAAAATATTCAATTATATTTAAAAATAAGAAAATGAATTAATTTATTTATAATAATTTTAATATTGAAGTACACAATTTTAAAAATAAATTGAAAAATAATGAATAAATAATTTATAAATAATAAAATTATTCTGTATACAATTTATTTATAATACAATATAATTTTTAACAATTTTTAATACTGAAATTTTTAAATTTATTTAAAAAATTACAAATTAAATAAAATTTTTATATAAAAATGTGCAAATTAAAATTTTTTTACATAACATTATTCTATATAATTAAATTTTATAATATTTTAATTGTTGAATCAAAAAATAATATTCGTGTATAATTTTAAAAATATAATTATATATATATATACATTTATAATATTATATATATATATATATAGGTAAATATATATGTATATATAAAATTTTTAAAAATAATTTAAAAAATTCAAAATTAAAAATAATTTTTGGAATTAATGTGAAGAAAAAAATAAAAAATTAGAGAAAAGAAAAATAATTAATTAAAAGTAACGAAAATTAACAAAAAAAAAAAAATATATTTCTAAATCAGAATTAATTTTTTTTTTTTTTATATAATATACTCGTATTATATATAAATTTTTGATTGAAATAATTTTCTTTTTACTATAATAATTAATAATTATAATAATATAATAAATAAATAGCATTAATGATATTTTGAATATTTTCTGATAAATTTCTGATTTAAAATTAATTTTGAAATAATGTTTGCTTTTTGTTTTTTTTTTGTTCTCTGTTTTAGCAAACATGCAAATTTATTTTGTACAAAAATTATATGAAATTTAATTTTTATTAAATTATTTATTTTTTTGTTGTTATACAAAATTTTTTAATCAAATCCAAAATTTTTATTTAAACATTTTTTCTATTTTGTTTTTTTTTTTTTTAATATAATAATTTATTTATAGTCTTATTTTTTTTTTTCTATTTATTTTATAAACCAGCGAGTTTTAAAGTTATTTATGTTGAACATTTCTTGTAATTTTTTAATTTATCTTTTTTTTTTTTTAATATATAAGATATTCATAGGGGTATTAATTTGCTATTTCTTTCATAATTTATTTTTATTTTTTTAAATTTTTAAAATTAATATTATTGTTTTTAAATTTTAAATATTTAAGAATTCAAGAATTTAATCATAATTTTAAAAAAATTTTCATATAATTTTTGTTGTTTAAAAAATTAAAAATATTTTATTTATTTATTTTTTTTCGATTTAAAAAACAAAGAAAATAAAAATAAAACATTCAATGAAATATTAAAGAGTTTCTTAAATGAGTTTTTGTTTCTGAAATTTTAAATTAAAATGGAAAGAATAAATAAAATAAATTTTATTTTATTAGTATTAATTTTGACTTATTTAAAAATTTTTTGATTTTTTTTGGTTTTAATAATTTCTTCTTTTATTTAATTTTTTTTTTTAATTTTTAATAAAATATATAAATTGATGACAATATTTTTTGTTATATTTGCTGTTTTTTCTATTTTTTAATTTAATATTAAAATATAATATTGTTTTCTTGATGTTTTTTCATTTTAGTTTCTTCTTAAATTTAATCGGTGTTCATTTTTAAAATTTAATTCAGCTGTTTGTTTTCTCTTTTGCTTTTTTAATTAAATTTTATTTAAAATTAAAATTTTTAATTTTATTTGAAAAAACAAATAGCTATGAAGTAAAAAATAATTTCAAAATTTTTATTTTAAATAAAAAATTTTTTTGTTTACCTTTAAATTGAAGAATTTTTTAATACAAATTGTTTGTAAATTTTGAAATTTTTGTTTTTAACTTCACATTTTTGTTTTACATACACAAATATATATGCCTATATATATATAAATATGTATGTATGTAAATTATATTATAAATGTTTTAATTTTTTATTGAAATTTTGGAATTGATTTTTGTTTTTTTTTTTTTTTTTTTGTAGTTATTTTAATTTCTTATATTGGAATGAATTTTGTTTTTTTAATTTTTATTGATTATTGATGCATTTGTTTTTTTTTTTTTTTGAATTTTTTTTTGTGAGGGAAGGATGCAATCGATTTAGATGGCGAATTCACTCTTTCCATATATTTTAAATGATTCCTCTTCCATTTTATACATTTCAAGTAACTGATGATATAGAAGTATAATAAAAAAATAGTAGGTAAGTGTGTGATAGAAAAAAATTAAAAAAAAAAAATTAATATTTTTTTTATTTAATATTTTTAAAAAATTTCATTATTTAATATTTTATTTATTATATAGGAATTTTTTTTTTTTTGGATTAAATGATTTATTTGAAATGTTTTAACTATAGTATAAAGGTTAGTATATAAAATAATAAAATATATTATTGAATTACTTATTTTTTATATATAAAAATGTTATATTGAATTAAAGTAGGTAGCAGTTTTATAAAATATATTTAAATTTTTTATTTTACTTAATTTTTAATATTTATTTGTATAAATACAGATACCATTTTTTGTACTGCGGTGTTTTTGTTATTTTCTTCTTTAATTGAATTTTTTTTTATAATTATCAAATAATTTCGAAAGTAATTTATTAGTTGTGAAAAATTTAATTAAAAAAATATAAAGTGCATTTTTGTATATAAAAAGAACTTATATAAAAATTTATAGCAATAGACTTTTTATATATATATAAAAAAATAGAGATTAGTTTTATTGTAATTTTTTAACTTTATTTTAAATTTTATTTTGCATTTTATTTTTCTATGACTGTAAATAATATATTTTATAATTTACTAACCTTTATAAAAATATAAAATTGAAGTTGATGTTGAAAAAAAAATATTGAAAGAATTTAATTAAATTTTTTTTTTATGTAAAATTATTTATTAGTTTATCATTTGGAAACGTACAAATAAAGCAAAAACTCGCATACTTAATGTATTACAAATTTATTATAATTAAAATATAAAGACGAGCTTCTTTTTATTTTTAAAAAAATTAAAATGTTTAGTTTGTAAAATATCTTATATTTTTTAATTGCATAACTAATATGATGTAATTAAATAAATTTTTAATAAAATTCTTTCAATATTATTTACTTAATATTTGAGAAAAATAAAATTACTAATGAAAATATATAATGAAATTTGATTACAACTTAAATTTATATATTAATTACACATATTAAAAAAATTAAAAAAAATTAATGAAATCTACAGTTAATTTTAATTAATATATTAATACTAATTATTTAATTATATGAAAATTTAAAAAAATTTTATGAATTTTAATGAGATATGAATATATTTAATAAATATATTAAATGAAATATGAAATAATAAAATTAATAAAAAAAATTTTGTATTTGTAAAATAAAATAAAATAATTTTTGTTTATCTTATTTTTTTTTTATATTATCCATTTATTTTATAATATAATTTATATATAAATACTTATTTAATTGTAAAATTAAATTTTAATTAATTCAAATTTTTTTATCTCTTAAATTACACATCATGCTCTACAAAAAATAAATAAATATATCTATAGTGAAACAAAGTGAATAAAAATAAAAAAAATAAAAAAAACAAAAACAGAACACAAAAAAAAGATTATTAAAAATAAATAATAATTTAATTATTTCTTAAACATACATATTTATTTATATTTAATGAAAAAAAATTATAAGGGTTTCATGCTTTAAATGTTGGTGTTGTATTTAGATGGGGGCAACTCAAACTTAATTTTTATAAAAAATATTTATATTATAATTATAAAAAGAAAGAACTAAATAATTAATTAAATAAATTGAGAATAAATAAAATGAAATATAGACAATTTCAATAATATAGTATTTTATAGATATTTTATATATATACAAATTTGTATATAAAATTAATATTATTCTATTAAATTATAATTTAGGTACTAATAAAAATTAAATAAAGTCAATAAAAATTTTCAAAGAAAAAAAAATTTTAAATTGAAATTTCAAAGATATTATTAATTAAAACAAAAAAAAAAAAGAAACACAAAAAAATCGACTATAAATTACTTTATAACATCATATAAAAATATTAAAATTAGAAATTATTTATGTAATTTAATTAAGAATTTATATACATTAATATGTATATTTTATATACATATATAAATAACAATTGTGTGTGTTTTGTGTGTATATAATAAATATACATTAAAATGTGCGCATATATTTATATATACAAATATTTCTATTACAATATATTAATCAAATATTAATTTTAATTAATTTTAAAATTATTATTTCAATATTTTTAATTACATTTTGTATTTTCTAATTTCTAAATTATTGTTTTTTTTTTTTCATTTCTATATTATAATTTTACGTTTTTAATACTAAATTTACTATTCAATTCAAATTAATTTTTTTGTTTAATTTTATACGTTTCTGTATTATTCACAAAATTTATAGATATTTTAAGATAATAAAAAAAATATATATATTTTTTACATTTAAATTAAATTACTGAAGATAAAAACTGTAATTAATACAAAAATATGTGCTTTGAATAGAAAAAATAGAAGAAGAAGTGAAAATTTAATAAAAAAAAGGTAATAATATCTTAATTTTGTTAAATATTTGAAATGTAATTATTTTTAATTAAAATAAAGAAATTTGATTTATTGTTTTATGCTTTATTACAGATTGTTTAATAACCGAATCAATAATTTCTATTAAGAAAATTTGATTGAATATCATTATTTTTTTTTTAATATATATTTTTATTCAAAAAAATTGGGTTTTTCTTTTCAAAATTTATGTTTAGTTTTCTCATTTTTGTACTAATTGCAATTACAACAAATAAGATTTTGGTTTTAGGTACTGAAAAAAAATTGTATTTTAAAAAAATATGGTAGCAATTTTCTAAACATTTTTAGTTTAAATTTAATAAAGTAATAAGAAATTCAATTTAGTAAAAGTTAAAGTTAAAATTTTAGGTATTTAAATACATTATTGAATTAAATTATATTAAATAAATGAAATGAAAATAATTATATTTACTTAAAATTATTTAAATATAAAATTTCAAAAGAATTTTCTTTACAATTATTTAATACGTTGTTATATGAATATTAAATTTTGAATTTACTATTAAAAAATATACAGAAATTATAATTAAAATAATTAATTACAGAAATAATAATTATTTCATTAATTTTTCTCGTTTTCTTTTACCAAATTAAATTTATTTATTTTCTAATTAAGTATTTCTATTAAATTTATTCTAAATTTTATATTTGAATATTTTTTAACTATATTTTTATGACTTTAATTTGGAAGCTAGTTTTTTTTTCCTATAATTTCCTAATTTATATCTTACATTGTTATTATTACAATTACTATTTTCTAATTTCAATACGAATTTCTATATATATATACGTACTTAATTTTTATCTTATTTCTTAAATAATTTATTGATTAATTGCAATATACTTGTATAAATATATCTAAATATTTATAGTATATTATATAATCATATTTAAAATTATCACTTCATATACATTAACTTTTAATATATGCTTTATGAATCTAAATATTTATTGTGTGTACTTCTTTTGTTAATTATTTATAAAATTATAAAACAATTTCAAGCTATACATATGAATTATATAAATTAAATAAATTGTAAATAATTAATTGAATTGATAATTATTAATTTAAATTAAAAATGAAAAAAATCATATTTATTCAAAATTAATAATTATTAACAGATACTAGTTTTTTTCACTTTGTTAATAGCATTTGTAATTAACTTTATAATAGTATAAAAAAAAAACAATTCTACAAAATAGAGCTTAGCTATTTAATTATAAAATTATAAGAAATTTAATTAAATTAATATTAAATTGAAAAGAAATGATATACAAAATTATAATAATTCTTTGAAAGGCTAAATAAAAACATAAAAAATATTGCATTGTAAAAAACAAAAATTAAATTTTAAATAATATGGAACTAAAAAATACTAAACTAGTTTATTTAATTACAATGAAAATTATTAAAATTATAAATATTATATAATTTTTGCAAAAAAAAACGAACGTAAATGTTTTTATATACAAAAACAAAAGAAAAAATTAAAAAACTAAAATGTTTTTGCTCTTAAAGAACGGTTTCATAACTGGTGACATGAGTTGGACTTGGGGGATCATTTATCAAAGCCTGTAGTACCTTTTCAACATCTTTACTAAAATCATCTAGTTGTTTCTTATGAGCTACACCTAATTTTTCTTTTTCACGTCCTTGCTTTATGCTCAATGTCTAAAATTACGTTAATTATTTTTATTATTTCTTCCATTTTCAAAATTTATTTTTATTATTTGCTATATTCTCTTTTACCTTTTTTTCTTCAATAAATCTTTTTACATTTTGAGCTTTCTTTTCTCGTAAACGTTTATCTTTAGCTTGTTTTGATTTAAGTGTTTTATCATTTTGGACCTCTTTAGCTGTTTCAACAGATACTTTAGCTTGCTTGCCATTTAAATCTTTAACATCCCTAAAAAGACAAAAATTTAAAGTGAAAAAGCCCCACCAAGTATTGAATTAAAAAAACTTACTGAGCATGTCTTGCTTCAAGTTTCTTAACTTGTTCGGCTTGTACAACTTCCATTAATTTACCCATTTCCTCTTGAGAGGATTGTACATGTTGTCTTAGCATTTCCCATTCTTCTTTCTTATGTTTTGAAATCATTTCAGCCCATTCAGCTGTTTGTTTTGCAATAGCATCTTTGATTGCGGAATCATTTTTAATTTCATCTTTGCTGTAAAAACGAAAAACAATAATTATTTGTTAAATATTTTGAATTAATTCAATTATAATATTGAAGATATACCTTTTGCCTTTGATTAATTTATCGATAGCTGCATTTTGAGTTTTTTGCATTGCCATTCTTTCTTTTGAATGCTTCTTCTTCATTGTATCTAATTCTTTATTTTGTTTTTTGGCTGTCTTCTGGAAGCATTTTTCGCCACGTAATGTTTCTATAGTTACTGGTTCAAAGACTAATGGTGGTGGTCCTTCTTCTTTTTTCTTATTCATGGCATCACGTGCTGCTCCACCACTGGTTTCAGCAATACCCATACCTTTTAGATTATCTGCTTGTTTATTGCCAGCCATAGCACCAGGATCAGTTAATAATGCCATAAAATCACCCATACCGTCGGGTACATAAATTTTTAATTCAATATTACAGAATAACATTGGCAACGACATTGGGAAATTAGCTTCTGTTCTTAATGATATATGCCTATAACCAGCTTGTAAACCATCCAATGGTAAGATTCTTTGTCCTATTTGTTTACCGCTTTCTTCAAATACTGTAAATCTTAACACAGCTAAATCGGGTAATACAATTTTTCTAAACAGAAATGGTTCTTCATTATAAACTGGATTTAAACCGTTTGCTGGAACTGTTCTAGTACGAAATTCTTTTTTAACTGTATCGGATGGTAAACCGTACATATCAACTTCAACATATGTACCAACTTTTTTTTCAGATAAAAATTGACCAGCAATAACTTGTACAGAACAAGAAGCAGCGCATACACCGTCCACAGATGCATCAGCGAATGGATCAAAATCTTTGTCAGATCTTCTCATAAAATCTGGTTTTATTAAATAACCACAATTACCATTATATTCGAATTTACCCTGATTTAATTGCAATGGTAAATCACATGTTTGGAAATTTAATGCAACCATATGGCAGCCAGCATTCCAAAATGTCTGTGGCATATAATTCGATGAATCAGCTCTTGACCCTTTTGGATAAATTCTAGACATTTGACGTTTATTATAATTGACAAAATCAATTGCATTTGTTTTTAGATAATTCATAGCAGCAGTTTCCGAGAAAGATGACATATTGTGATGAATATTTTTCTCTAAAAGTAAACAAAAAAAAACAAGATAGAATTGAAATAATTGTGAACTTTGCATTTAAAATTTAACAAAGAAAACGAATTATTTGTATTTGTTAAATATTTACTTATAGCATGTTCAAAACTTTGAAATTTAACAGGTTGAGCATAATTGATCATCGATGATAACCAAGGATGAACATTTGTTGTTGAACCGGAATATGCTACTTGAGCTTCAGCTGGCTGACCATCTGGGCCAAGTGGTTGACCATCTGGACCAACAGCTGGCTGACCGTCTGGACCAACAGCTGGTGGAGGAGCACCCGGTGGTGCTTCACCTGGTGGTGGATCTACAGGTGGTGCTTTAACAGCACTGGCATCCTCTGATGGTTCATCATCAATTGTTAGTTCACCTTTTAAAAATAATTCTAATTCAATTTTTTCTACTTCAGGTTTCATGCGTTTATTCTTAATTAAAATTTTTCGTTTTAATGCCGACGGTGGCGCTAAAGGTACACCAGGTTCAAGCTAAAAAATATATAAAAACCAAATATAAATTTGTAATAATACATACTAATAATAATATATACTAATGTGTTGTTAATTACTTACAGGCCATTCAGGTAGAGGTTCCTTTAATAATAAATCACCAAAAATTTCATCACAATATTTAGCTAATTTATATTGCTGTAATCGATTACAATGATTTTCAAATGATAATATAACAGGATAATCAGATGTAACAAATGCACAATCACGTATAGCAACAATAACATCCTAAAATTAGAAATTAAAATTTATATTATAAAATAGGAGAATAGGAGAATTAATATTTCATATTTTACTTACTTTAAATAATATTTCAGTACACATTGCCATACCGTGAGTTATAATTGGTTCTTCTGTTGGTGGTTTACCATTCCAACAATCTAATTCCACACATCTGTGTTAAAATAATTAAATTGCATAATAAATATTATTAATATATTTGAAGTAGTACACAATTAAGGTGGCTTTTTCTATTTTATAAGGAAAATTTCTGTATCAAATTCTCACCTGCATCCAGCTAATAAAGTTTGTCTGTACATTTCAACTGTACTTTTACCACCAAATTGTCTTCCAGATAAATATGTATTATGTGATGAATTAATATAGTAATGTGATAATGGTTGATCCATATCCATCCATATTTCTAATTTATCTAAAAATACTGGTGCATTTTCATCTGACATCAGGTACCTTTTTAAACCATCTAAGGATAGTTGACCTTTTTGAAATATAAAAAATTTATAAAAAATTAAAAATTTTAACTCTTTGCATGTAAATTTACCCTTCTTTTTTAAACCATCATTTGTTTCATAATCATTTATAATTTCTGTACAACGTTTTTCACTGTATAGTGGATATAAAATTTCATTGAGTCGAGGATCTCTTTGTTTCTCATTCATAAATTGAACTAATTGTGGTAATTCTATAACTTCAGCTTTTCCTTTAGTACTGTAATTATAATTCAAAATTATTAATAATTATATTATAAAAAAAGGTGTCTAATAAGTAGATAAGTAGATACGTTTTATACTTACATATTGAAAAATACTTCTTCAATATCGTTCCTAGGGCATACTTTATGATATAATGCATAATATTTATCGAATGTAAATTGTTCGGGTGTTATTGTTGCATTCTTTTCACTTGGTAAACCAACTTGACCTATTGCCTGATAAACTGATTTTTCACTTTTACCGGATGCAAACGTTTTAACCAAATTTTTAACTGGTATTCTTCCTTTTGTATCAACCAAAAATCCGCATCTCATCCAACTAAATTAATAAATATTGTAATTAGTTTTAATTTTTTTTTTATTTTGATTGAAAAAATATTAACAAAGTTTCGAATTAATTTTGAGATTAATATTAAACTATTTATGAGTAATTTTAGAATCAGAGGAGACTGTTTTTGATTGAAAGTATTAAAAAAATGTTTTTTTAATAAAATACATAAAAAACGTACACAAAAAAAATTGTTAGTCAATCAAATAAATGCGACAAATTTCATGCAAATACAAACCTGATTTTATATTTTAATATATGTATACCATTTAATTGCAAAAACAGAACCAAAGCGGTGAACGGCAATTGCGGATGGCGATTTCCGTTGTTAACCCAGAACAACAGCAGAACGGCGAAATCAACTGTTCAATGTTTTGTAGTGTCATACACATATGGAAATCGATAATGTCAAGAAAAGTGTCAGCAGTAAATTAGAAATTTCATATTTTCACTAGATTTTGGGCAGTCTTATTTAAATCTTAAATATGTGTTTTCATATGAATTTTGACATTTCGCAGCGGAAATTCGCTCTTGTTCTGTTTTCGACTTAAAGTTTTTAAGTGGTTAAATTGTATAAATGTCAAAAAGATTGTCAGTTATAATTGTTATAAAATAATATTTATAATTTATTATAAAAAATAATTCAGTATATTAGTTATTATTTAAAAAAAAACTATTTGGCATGTTATAAGAAATTTTTATGCTATAAGAAAAAGTTTTTGACTTTCGTTTTAAAATCTTAAACGTTAAAACACACACTACACACTACAGATCTCAAGAAAAATGGGAATCAAGAAATTTTGTAAAATAATTTTAAAGTAAAAATACAAGTTGAATTGAACTGTAAGCAGATGTCGTTCAATATAATATAAAATTTATGAAAAAACGAGAATCGAAATTTAAATTGAGAAATGAAGACACGATTTAAAACACCAATTGAGTAAATTGAATTTGACATTTGAGGTGAGAATTATTTATCTAAAACTAAATGTAAAATAATCTGTAATCTACTTTATTATATAAAATATTTAGTTAACATGATTGGAGAGTTCTTATTTGATTTTTTTTCTACTTAAGTTTCTTACTTACTGTTTCATTAAATTTGTTCGAGGACAAGCGTTGTTGGCTTTAACATTGTGAGTAATAGTACGCAATCCTTGTTGCCATCGCTAATTTTTTTTTTGTTTTTAATATTTTGAAAAAAAAAACATTTTACGGACACAAGAATATAAAAGAAAGCAAACAGAAGAAAAAAAAATAGTGGTATAATTTTGAAAATACATAACATGCAATTTAAATTAAATACTTTTCAGAAAATAAAGTGCAATGAAATGATAAAATGAAGGGTTTTTAAAAAAACGAAACCCAAATACTTAAGGCTAAATTATTAATGAAATGCACAAGCAACATTTTATACCAAAGCTTAAGCAATTATTTATATGAATTTTGAACATAGAAGCATATGTTTAGGAGCTATTGTCCTAAAATTTTTTTGTGAATATATGAATCTGCCTTTCTTTTTTTATTTAAAATTGAATGTACGTTGACTTCCAAAATTCATTAATATGGTGTAAATGTACAATTTTTACATGTATTACTGCATTTTTGATAGTCTAGAATGTACATTCGCCTGCCGGCTAAAGAAATGACATTAATTAAATTGCAAATTAAATTGCCACAAATAATAAATATTTTCAAACAAATGTCACATATGTATGTAATGCGTTTGACGTATGATGTTCAATATAACTAATGTAGCTTTTCTAATATAGCAAAAAAGCAATTCTATAAGAATGTTGATCTAAACGCAGCGTTCTGAATGGCAGACTCATATATTCATACAGCGATTATAATAAAAATTTTGCTGGAATTTTACTACATATGTCTACTTGCTATAAATATTTTTTGGCAAATTTTGATGTAGTGTGATTAAAAATTTAATCAATATTTACTTTAATACTTTAATTTTTGATTGAAGCATATCATTGAATTCCTTAATGTAATATTACAGTATTTAAATTACCATTCGAAAATTTACCGTTAAGTCAAGTTCAGTTCAACCATAATTTCTAGGTAGAATCGAATTTAAAAACCGTATTACTGTATAATATTGAATTCGTGGCATGTTAGTGCTAATATAATCACACATTTAACAATATTAACATATATTATAAATACAATGACATACACAATACAATTACTTTAAATACATTATGTTTCACAAGAAAATTTTGTTAAGAGAAATAAATTTAGTTATTTTATGTACAATTTAAATTTATTACATGCAATTTATATTAAACTGTGTGAAATAATAGAAAAAAAAATATTTAAAAAATTTATTTTATCACTCTTTACTCTCTTGATTTTGTGATTGAGTGGCAAGACTTACTGTTTTTTTAAATTCCACATAGGACTAATATTATTTGCCTTAACATTATGAGTTATTTTTCTAATACCAGCTAGCCATATCTAAAATTAAATTAAATTTAATATGAATTTTTTTATATTGAAAACTATGTATGTAATTTGATATTCATTTTCGGAAATCATAATAAACCATTTAATTCTGTAAAAAATTTGTAATTCAAATTAAGTGTGTTCAACACAATAATTATTTTAAAATTTTGAGGTTTAAATATTGGGTACTTTGAAATTTTAAAACTTGATTGAGCTCGAAAACATAACACGGATGTTATATTTGGATTTGTGAGCTTTCTTATTTTTTATTCAATATTTAAAACAAGATTTTTTTATATTTAGCAATAAAAAAACAGTACTACTTAATAATTATTTATAGAAATTTTAGCGATATTTAATGAATTTTCATAATAAATTTTAATATTAGCGTATTAGCACTAGAAAATTTTATAATAACTAATAACTAATTATAATAACTTACTTTTGCCGTATCGGCATCTTTAGCTACAATATGCTGATAAGTAATATTAATATAATCTGGACCAGTACATATACATAATGATCTTTCATCTAATTGTTCATCAGTACCACCACATTTTTTCCGTACTTTATCTAATAACTTGGGCTCCTGAAATTAAGAATATTAAAAAATATATTTAATTATATATGTATTTTAAATTTTATGATTTTATTCAAACTTGATAATTTATCCCGATTTTTCCTATATTATAACAATTTATTTGCGCAATCTATATTATACAAAATTTTTAACACATGTACTTTAAATAATTGGTATCCATTCTATATAAAATAAAAAATTGTGAAGTTAACTGTGTTGAACGTGCCTTTTTCCCTAAATACAATTACTAAAAAATTCAATTTATATAAAAAATATAAAATGAAAAAATTTTCACAAAAAAAAAATAATGTTTTAGTCCTCCAAACGCGAATAATGGTTTTTATTATACATTATTTGTCTAACTGTTATACATATACATATTAAGTTATATACACTTTTTATATCACATAAAAAAAACCACATGTGATGAAAGATGTCACTTTGTATTAATTTAGTTTTATTGTATATGACCTTTTAAAAAATAATATTTCATGTGTACGTCACATGAATGCATTTTGATTAGATTTTCAATTTTCATACTAATATATTGTACTACATATAACAAAAACAAAAACAAATCTTGTCTATGTCCTTTTTATATATTATTAATTTACTATATGTACATACATTTATGTGCTCTATTTAATTTAAAAATAAAAAAAAAAAATATTAAAATGTAAATAAAGTGAACTAGATTTCATCAGAATTTTCAGAAATTTTCAATTTAAAATACAAAAATTAATTCTTTTTTTTTGCTTTCATTTTCTATAACTTTTAAAAAATGTATAACAAATTTTTTAAGGAAATTTCTAGTATAATAATCAATTTAAATTTTATTTAGTAAAATATTAAAATATAAAAAAAAATTTTATTTTCATAAAAATTACATCAGTCACTTGTCATTCAAAGTTCGAATTTAATAAAGCAACATTACCATAGGATACTAAAAAGGAAGTTGACATTTTTGAAATATTGTTACGAAATTTGAATTTGTAATTGAAGAGGTCTCAGTTTTCAATCAGAAAATTATACTACATAATGAAGATAATTAAAGTTGTGTGACAATGCGAAAATTTAAAATAAAAAATTTTGAAATTTTATGATAAAAATTAAAAAGAATGCTGAGTTCTGAATAAGGTGCTGAGTAATTATAATTACCTTGAATTTATTTCTTATGGGATTTAAAGACTATAGGAGTTTTCACTAATTGGTATTAGTGCAAAAAAAAAACCGTAGAAAAAAAAATATTTTTCTCCAACTAGTTAACGATTGACGGAAATTTTAGATGTTATACTTGTTCTCTTAGATGTCCTCTTAAATATGGAACACATAATTTACATTAGCGAAGGAAATTTTTTTTTATATAATATAAATTTTTTACTGTAGCAGTGCAATTTTTTGCTCTGCTACATGGATTTTTGAAATTTGCGCTAACCATACGTATTAGCCCCATAATATTATTTTAAATTTTTTAATAATCATAAATTTTGTATTCTAAAATTTACAAATAGAGAGAAAAAAATCTTTCTTATTATTATGTCAAATGTCATTACTATAAAATTTGGCATTAAGTTTTTGACATATTTTAGACATAACCTTAAATTGAACTATGATTATGTAGTATATTTTGTATAAAACAATTTCATTTCTCTTTATTAAAATTCAAAATGGGGCGAGAAATTTATAATTGAACACAAATATTATGTATACATGTATATGTCAATCATGTATAAATCAGTTTTTTACATGTGTACAAATGTATGTTGTTAATTAAACATGTGTTTTCAATAATCTGATATTTAAATTCATATAATACAGAAATTGAGACAATGTCATCGATTTGATTATTTTTGAATAAATAATTAAAAAAAAAAAAAAATTTTATTTAAAAAAGTATTTCAAGTTTATTTTGTGGTTTATATATGATATAAAGGATATGAAAAGAATTATTGTGAATTTATGCAGTTAAAAAGAGTTTAATATTGCTCTTAATTAAATTTTTCAAAAATTTAATATTAAATAAATGTGATAGTTCAATATTATTTTTATTTGATGCGGTCAAAAAATTTTAAAATAAAATTTTGATTTTATTTAAAATTTTATTATAGAATTAATTAAGCATAAAAATTTGTTCTAATATTCTGTCTGAAAAACCTGTGTTTTAGCAAAAAATATTAAGTATTTATTACAGTATATATATGTAAGTTAAGTTAACAATAATAGCGTGAAATTATGCTTCATTATTAATAAATGCCCTTTAATTTGATGTCTTGTCACCTTCTTTAATTAATTTTCAAATTAAAATTTTGACTCTCACTTCTACTCATACTCTCTGATTCACATTCTCTTCTTAATATACATATGTCGTGTGCAGATTAATTAAAACTTGTCTTCTCTTGTCACTTCTATCTCTTAAAAGAAGTGCACAGGAAAGAAAAGAGAATTGCTGGGAATAATTGAGAATTACACTAAAAAAATGTATGTACGTACGTTTCTCACTCATTTTTTTCTCACCAAGTTAATAAAAAAGTGGGATTTAGTAATTTAAAATAAGATTTCTTTTTTTTCTTTAATTGCCTGTTAACCCTTTCTTTTAAAGAAACTAGAGTAGATTAGAGAAATTCATTGGTTACACTGGTTTTTCTAATACTTTATTTTACACAAGTATGGAGTCTATATTGAAATACAGAATACAATTACTGTGATTATACACAACGAACTACACATACTTTTTTTGAGTGACGCTTGTGAATAATAATTTCTAGTTTAGAATAACGCCACACAAAAAAAGTAGTTCGTTTGTGTAATTACGAAAATTGTCTTTTGTGTATTTACACAATGCTAATACCAATATTCTTCTTGATTAACCATTTTTAAGAACTTATTAAATTATTTATTAAATTAAAAACAATTATATATTTAATTTTACCACTGTAAAATTTTTATAATAGAATTTCATCTCTGATGCGGTTTGAACTTTCATCAAGGGAAAAAGAAAAACGTTAAATATTAAAATAAAATAAAAAAACCAAACAAATAAAACGAAAATCCTGCGGATTTCTTTTTATTTTTTTTTTTAAATAGTATTATAAAAATGAAATAAAAAAGGAAAAATTAAAATAAACAGAGAAGAAGAATAATTTTTTAAAAGATTATTTTTTTTTGGTAAAATCAAGGACAAGGAGTAAAAGAAGATAAAGCGAAAAAAACTCTCTTAAAGCAAGGCAAATATGGAAAAAAATTTGAGATGTTTTGGAGTTCTTATATAGACTACTGTGGGATACGGTTCATTTTTGGCTGCTTACATAGCATTCAAACTGCTTTTAAAATTTTTCATATTGTATTTTGGATATTAGCTTATTAAAAAAATACAAATTCAATTGAAAGAAATTTGTTGAGCTCAATTTAATTTAATAACACATATTTTCAATGTTTGATTAGAGAATTAGACTGGCAAGCACAAATTATAAATTGCGTTCAAACGCAATTAAAATGTAAAAATTTAATTAGATGACAATTTTGAGTGCCTTGTTACTGTTCATTAGACTCTTATTAATTACTTTTTTTCTAAATTATTTTTCAGTTCGGCGATTGGTTCGTTCGTTTGCCTGTCAGGCCCTGCCTGCCAGCATTTTATCGACAATTTTTTTATATATGATAAGAAATTCTAAAATACTATTTAATTTGTATGTGATCGAGACGTTATTTCTCGACTAATTAAAGGTAAATTATAGACCATAATTATAAATGAGTTTCTCTTTCAGTTTCAACTAAAATAGTACGAGTACAAGTATTACAAAACTGACCCGATTAATTTCTTAATAGATTTTCGTACGTTGCCTAAAAGTATGCAATATATTTAATATTTGATTTGTAATTTTAATAAAAAATTCAATGATACAAGATAATTCTTTTTTTTGATACTGAATAAGCTTTACATTTTAAATATTCTAATTAGTAGAACAAACAAAAAAAAAAAGAAAAAAATTACTAGGAGAAAATCTAATAAAATATAGGCATTAAAGAATATTTTTGGTTTTTTCTGTTTTTTTTTTTTTAGAATAATCGCTGTAATAAGGACTTATTGTATATTTATTAATATCTACAATATACAGAGTTATTCAGCTACAAGTTAGAAGCACCGACATACCAAAGCACGGATTTTAAGAAAATTTTTAGCGAAATCTTAACGTGCGTTTTTTTGCCTATGACTTCCGCTCTAAAAAAGGTAGAAGTTTCAAAAAAACTGTTTTTGAAAGGGGTATTTGAGGGTTTTGAAAATTTTTTATGGTTTTGGAAATATAGCAAAAAAAACATATTTCATTATTCCAAAGATTTTAATAAAATGTATAGACTGATGATACAGCCATGATGATATATGGCTGCTATCTTCTGGCTGAATAACCCTGTATATATCTACAAGCAGAGGTATACTAAGTATATTTTTTAAAGGTAAGACAGCTATGCCAATTTTACTCTCAAAATTTTTTTTTCATTTAAATCACAATATGTTTACACAATGTATACACCCCGGTATATACGAGTACATTGTACGCTATATAATGTAAATATGTTTTTATGCATAAGTAATTTACTATATATACTTACAGAGGTAAGTAATTTTTGTGGATTTTTTTTTAATAAAGAAAGATTTTCCGTCGAATTTTTGTCTTCTTTGTTTTGTTTTCTGTTCCGGGATAACAAGAAAATTATACACGAAGCCTAATCTTATATATTTAAAAATTGCCTAAAGGTATTTTATTAAGAGCCAAAAAAAAAAATCATATTTTTCTCTTCCACAATTTTGTGTATAATATTTTGATCATTTTTAATTTTATTTAAATGTACGTGTGTATATAGCTATGTATATAATATGCGTTATTATAAAACGCTCGAATTTGTTAGAATGTTTAAATTAAACAATGACATATGTGTGTTAAGAGGAGTAGAAATTTTTTAAAAATTTATTAATATTTTTTTGGTGGAATTTAAAAATATGATCACATACA